CGTAACTCTGCAACCAGAGCAACTGGAGTGCTGAAACTTTCTGGGCTTTACCCAAGACCGTGTTTAGGTACCGCAAGTAAAGAAAGCATTCGCGTTGCTAATTACGTACGAACACGTGAAATTTGACATAACTCCGCAACCAGACCAGCTGGAGTGCTGAAACTTTCTGAGCGTCATCAGGACCGCGTTTGAGTAACCACAAGTGAAGGAAGCATTCGCGTTGCTACTCACGAACGAACACGTGGAATTTGGCGTAACCCTGCAATCAGAGCAACTGGAGTGCTGAAACTTTCTGAACGTTACCCAGAACCGTGTTTGAGTAACCGCAAGTGAAGAAAGCAATCATGTTGCTACTCACGTGCGTACACGTGAAATTTGACACAACCAGAGCAACTGGAGTATTGAAACTTTCTGAGCGTCACCCAGGAGCGTGTTTGAGTAGCCACAAGTGGAGAAAGCAATCACGTTGCTACTCACGCACGAACACGTGAAATTTGACATAACTCCGCAACCAGACCAGCTGGAGTGCTGAAACTTTCTGAGCGTCATCAGGACCGCGTTTGAGAACCACAAGTGAAGAAAGCAATCATGTTGCTACTCACGTGCGTACACATGAAATTTGACGCAACCAGAGCAACTGGAGTGCTGAAACTTTCTGAGCGTCATCCAGGAGCGTGTTTGAGTAGCCACAAGTGGAGAAAGCAATCACGTTGCTACTCACGTACGAACACGTGAAATTTGACGTAACTCTGCAACCAAAGCAGTTGAAACTTTCGGAGCACTACCTAGGGCTGTGTTTGAGTAATCGCAAGCGAAGAAAGCATTCACGTTGCTACTCACGTACGAACACGTGGAATTTGACGTAACTCTGCAACCAGAGCAACTGGAGTGCTGAAACTTTCTGAGCTTTACCCAAGACCGTGTGTGAGTACCGCAAGTAAAGAAAGCATTCGCATTGCTGCTCACGTACGAACACGTGGAACTTGACGTAACTCTGCAACAAGGGCAGTTGAAACTTTCTGAGCACTACCTAGGGCTGTGTTTGAGTAATCGCAGGTGAAGAAAGCATTCACTTTGCCACTCACGTACGAACACGTGGAATTTGACGTAACTCTGCAACCAGAGCAGTTTATGCACTGAAACTTTCTGAGCGCTATCCAGGGCCGTGTTTTGAACAACCGTAGGCAAGGGGAGAGTTCACGTTGCCACTCATATACAAAAAAAATTCAGCGCTCTGGATGCTTCGGTTGCGGAATTACGTCAAGTTTGACGTAATTCCGCAACCGATGCATCCAGAGCGCTGAATTTTTTTGGCATGGGTTGGGAGGCATTGTAACAATTTCTAACAGTCGTGGTGGCCAGTCCCAATTCTTTTAGCTAGAAGCATCTGCCGGGAAGAACGTGCCACTCGCGAATAAAACCTGCGGGGGAACTGTGCAAAAAAGCATCCTCGTACCGGCAGCCGGTATGCTTTCGACTAGGTCTTAAAGTTTACTAAGATTGCTCGGACTATTTAGATTACCGGGCCGCGGGGACGAAAACTGCAGCAATTTCAGGCATTTTTAAAATTTTGATTCCTTGTTTCCAGTTTCGAGCCCAGCGTTAAATGTATTGTATTTGTGTAAGCTTCTAGTCGGATAATTTGTAGTACCAAATCACTGTGCTGCCCTGGTACAATACGTTTTTATCGTGAAAAACTTCAAGTCTTTTATCTAATACAGTCCCGAGCAAAACAGAAGCAGCAGCAGCAGCAGTGCAGAAACAATGGAGACGACATTTGATCTTTTTGGAAATACACTCTCAACACCAGTTGCAACTCCAGTCAAGGCCGGCGAAAAACCTCATTTTGGTTCCACGACGAGCCTACATCTTCTTGGAAGACCCCTGCCAGGCTTGGCCGCCGAAATGAAATGTAAATCAGTGACCGACATCAGGCTTGCTGCGGCCCGAGAGAAGCAAGCAGCACTAAGTCGGGCATCATCTTCGGAAGTACTCAATCAACTGTGAGCTATAAATGTTGCATTTTGGATGGCCCCCGTGTGCTTTTCAACTGCTTAAATGATTTTGAGAAACTAAGAATACTATGATTGCCCAAGCTGCCGGTATGGATATCTCATATTAATAATATTACTGGGATGCTCCTTTGCGCCAGGCGCAGCTACGCCAGACCGTTTTATCCTGGACTACATACCCCCAGTTAGCATCCACTGTTTGTTCAATGATAATAATAATGGCAGTAATAACAGCAATAATAATAGC